TATTGGGACAGTAGAGACAGCCATGGAGTCTTTAGCAACATTCCTTGATACCTTTTCACGTTTCTTCACCTCCTTTTTGTCTTTACGTGGCTCTGAGACTAAAGGATCCTTACCACCACAGGACTTAATGCTGATCTCCATGTCATGGGCACGCGTAGCCAACTCTTCAAAAGAACGAGGTTTTATACCTTATAAGATACACAAGAGGTCCCAATGCATACCTTGCATACACATTTCAACAGCAGAGAGTTCCGACAAACGGTCCTTACAATCCAAACTAATTACTCGCCAACGATTGATGCAGTCTATAACAGACTCATCCTTCCATTGTCGTGTGTTAGTCAACTCAATCATACTAACAGTGCAATGGGTGCTATAGAACCTGTTTAGGAACTCTCATTCCAGTTGCTCCCAACTATCAATTGATTCAGATTCTAAGTCAGTATACCATTCAAATGCATTTCCCTTAAGGGAACGAACAAACTGTTTGACCAACAAGTCCCCATCAGATCCAGCATTGTTGCAAGTCTCGACGAAATGAGCAATGTGTTGCTTGGGGTTTCCTTTTCCGTCAAATTGTTGAATCTTTTGAGGTTGGTATCCTATAGGCATCCTCGTGTTATCAATTCTCTTTGTGTAGGGTTTTGAATATATGAGATTGCTTTGAGGGACTCCACCATATTGTGCACGGATTGTGTTTGTTATCATATCTTGCAATTGTTGAACAGACAACAAAGCAATAGAAGAAGCACGATTGGTTTGGTGAGCTACTTGTTCTGCTATAGGCGTCCCGTGACAATCTTCTAATTGGGTACCTTGAGGCGTTGAATTTGAAGGATTCTCATATGGCTGCTTTGACTTACCAAGATTTTGAGTTTCTAACTTATTCATGAGCATGGCAATCTGCAAATCTTTCTCTTTACCAGCCCTTGTAAGATTTTCAATTGCACGTGACATCGTGGCTAATTGGTCTTCCACCGAAGTTGCGTCAGTCATCATAGCCATCATGACATCTGAATAGGAAGACCTTGAGAGCCAAAATTCTTCGAAGTGATTGATTGTTCCGAGGTCTCACGTGGTGACTCAGAGAATGAACCAATGCTAGAATTATCATTAGAAAGGGAACGAGGTGAATCCAGCGACGGGGTCTTTTCCGGAGCAATGTCAGAGTTGACCTTATGGATGTTAAGGGTGCTAACATGTTGAGTCTTCATACTCATTGATTCAGTGGGATTGGTTTTCCCTAAAATTTGTTGTTGTTTGGATGAAGCAATTGCTAGGGCCTTGCTTCATGTCACAGGGCCAATTGAGGCATTTTCATCGCTTGACATGTTCTTAGTCTTCATGCCGCTTTTTGTGCAACTTTGACGTTGACCTTCGCGGCAATGATGTTCTTTTGGGTATTTTTGCTTGTCTGAATCTTGGAAGGTGCCATGGATTCTGATAAAGATGAGTCTTGATAATTTGATGTAGAAGAAAGAGATGAAAGGCAGGAAGGGTCCCACGGGGCGTGCCTGAAATTTGTACATACAAATTTTATATTTGTAAACTAAAGAACAAAATAAGGAGCAAATAATCAATTTTATTAATATTTGATAAGCTGGGTACAATTCTCTGTAATATTCTTTACAAAAAAAGAATGTCCTCTAATTCGATCTCCTAAATCTTCGGTGCAAATGCTTCAATATTTGATGTTGAATCGGCTGCAACGAACTTTCTTCAAATCTTCGAGAAATGAAGGAAACTTGGATTGATTTCCTATTGAGAGCCGTGGAAGCTTAATCCCAACCGGTTGAATGAAAGACTTTGAATAGGGTTGGCACTTGTAGAACGTGCTTATAGTCATTTGTATTCAAAGTGTTGAATCTTTAAAGCTTTAAGTGATGAATGTGTGTAGAATTCAGCAGAGCTTTCTTCTTCTTCTCTTCGGATCCCTTTCTCCTTCCCTCTCGCTTCTATTTATAGACTTCATAAAGGGACAAAATAGTCATTTGAGTCACTTTGGATAATTATCACAATTATAATTTGGATAATTATCCTAAGTGATAATTATCCTCAAATATATATATATATTAAGAATAATTATCATTTTATTTAACTAACCTAATCTTCAAGTGGGCTGGTTAGTTAGCAATTTGGAATTGGCCCATTAAAGTGGGTTGGGTCAATTGAGTCATTTGGATTGATCCATGACCTATATTTGGTTGTGGACTTAGGTTGTTTAGCTAATCGGCCCATAATTGATGGTAAGCCCAAATTGTAGCTTGAATCCATCATGTGAATATTTCAGTCTCTACAGATGCTACTTGAGTATCTCTATACACTCCAACATATAAAAACTAATGTTTAGAAGTGTTAATTAGGGCTGCAATTTGGGCAGGCTAACCTAGCATAACCTAACCCCAACCCAGGAATTTTGAAATTTGGGCTTTAAATTCACAAATCGGGCTCATATTCGGGTTGGGCTGAGCCGGAACCCAACCCAAAACCCAAAATTAAATTTTTTTTTTCTCTTTCTCTCTTTCTCCCTCTGCCGCTACTGTCCCTCTGCCGCCGCCACCGTCCCCTCTGCTGCCAACGCCATCCTTCTGTCGCCGCCGCCGTCCCCTCTGATGCTGCCGCCGTCCCTCGCCCTCAACCGTTGATCCACCGCCATTGTCGTCCCTCCGCCTCTACCGCTGTCGCTGTCACTTCCAAAAATTAAAATAAAACCCATACATACAAGTTAACAGTTGCAAAGAGAGAGGGGGGCAAGCTTGAGACTTGAGAGACAGCGACTGAAGCTGGAGAAAAGTGAACCCGAACTGGAACAACAAGCAATGAAAACTGATATGGGTTTTGAACTTTTGATTCTTGCAGATATATAGATAAACTGAAATATATGGGTTTTGAACTTCAGATTCTTGTAGATTTTGTAGTTTGCAGTTGCAGAGAGAGACGAGAACAAGAATAGAGACTAAGGCGATTGGGGAGGCTGAAATGATTTGCTCTAAAAATATTTTATTTTTTAATAATAATATAATCAAATATATATAATATATGTATATATATATATATATATATTTCTGAGGAAAAAAAAAACTTTATAAAAATTTAAAAAACCTCAACCCATCTCGACCCGCCCGAAAATATTCGTTCTGGGTTATGGCTATAACCCATGTTGGTACAATTTGGGTTTGCCCAACCCAACCCGATTTCGGGTTGAAATTGGGTTGGGATTGAGCTGGGTTGGGCCAGCCTAACTTGCAGCCCTAGTGTTAATGAATATATTTTTTTTTTCTAAATTTGTCAAATTATATCAATATAATATATTATATTTTCAATGACATAGTGAAATATAGGTTATTCTAATCATGTTTGTGCCTGATACCTATTCAATATGATCTAATACATGTAATTTAATTCCGACTGTTAATGGAAAAAAAAAAAAAATTGTAATTTTTTTCCAAATGAAGAAATTTTTTTTTTTTTTTTTTTTTTTAAAATATCTCAAATCATATAAAATTGGACCATTAGATATTAACTTATAATTATATTAATATATATTAAATTTTTCAAAACAAAAACAAAACAACATTTATTAAACAGGTGTCATGTTATTGATTTAGAAATTTTGACAACAAAAGAACTTTCCAAACGTGTTTTGTTTTCGGATTTCTTAAAACGCATGACCTTACCAAACATGTTTTCATGTTTTTGGTTTCAATTTTCCCAAAACAAATTTTTGTTACCAAACATGATTCTAATTTCTACTCAAAACACTCCTATACCAAAAACGATTGTTTACGTATAGATTAAAACCACTTTTAGTATTCCAAATCCGAAATATTAGTAGAGATCTCATCAACCAAAGTACATATGAAGATTTCTCGAGTCTAATAACATTAAGGCCCATTTCTTTGGACATAAAATATCTTTCTCATAATAAATAAATAAATAAATACAAAAATATATATATATATATACTATATAAAACCTTTTTAGGTAATATATATATATATATATATATATATATCATTTTTACTTTTTGGTATTTGCCAAATGTCCTGAAAATTTTTCCTAAATAAAAGTACAAGTTATTTTTGTTAGATTTTGATAAAATATTTTAGGCAACAAATATTTTACTTAAATTTTGGACAACCAAACACCCAAAAAAATAAAAAATAGTAATAATTCTTTAAAACAATTTACATCCAAACAAATGCAGCTAAGAGGAAGACCAATGTAGGTATATCATGGTCATGACCAATTCAAGGGAATACATATTGGCTTCAAATTGCTCCTCAAGTCCGGGTTATATAGAGACTCTAGACATTGTTTAGGCCATTTCTGGACCCCAGACAATACAATTCGAAAGTATATTTGCCACCTGGCCGGCCATGACAAGAGACGACTAGTAGAAATTATCGGGCGATTGAGAGGAGGAAAGGAATGGCGATTTGACCAATTTTTAGTTCTGATTTGTGAATTTTTTTTTTTTTTTAAAAAGTTTCAAAAATGGAATGGAATACACCGAAATTAGATTAAATGCGACAAAAATAGGATTTCTCCTAAAATGAGGGCCTCTCTCTCTCTTTCAGATAAATTATTACATACAGACACGAAATTGATCAGTTCTAAGAAACATCACATTTCAATTTTCTTTTAATTAACATGAAAAGAAAGTCTTTTCGATCTGCAAAATTTGGTTTAACAGCTGAAGTTGTAAGAGAAACAAATTTCCTTAGGTTAAAATATGATTCAAAAACTGCTATAAGATTTAGAGCTCAAAATAGAAATCAGACGGAAAAAAACCGGGGAAATAAGGAAAAAGAAAATAGAAAACAAAATACAGTGAAAAGACATCAGAAATATCATGCTATGTTTGGGAGCACCGTATCGGTCACTTGGATTTGGTATTGAGAATACTAAATTTTCTACAATTCCATATCCAAGGTGCCGATTTGGTACTCCCATACGCAACATCATTGTATCTAAAAATCAATAGTGCATGCTCTTCATGCTAATAAGACTTGGTGGATCCCATTCTAGCTATATTAGAAATAAACAGCAATGCGAAAGCCCTCCAAAAGGGGATGTTCAAAAAGAAAAAGAACAATGTACCACTAAAGCTATGATATCCCAAAATCAGCCAGGCACTCCACATGCAGATGAATCAGATGATGCCATTAAAGCTATAATTTTTCAAAATCAGCAACTCCACGTGCAGATGACCCAAAATGAAACTATACTAGAAGCCATCACGACACTAAACTTTGTACAACACGAAGGGATTGCTTGGTAGTAACTGACACCCTGATGCCCTATTCCCAAAATCATCCCTGCCAGATGAGCACAAACCCAACTTCAGGTCAAAACTACTCCAATGAAATGGTTCTAGATAAGGCTCACAAATGTCAGTGTCTTTGTCAACCTAACAAATGGCCCAAAGTCTTCTAGGTTTGTGAGGAGTTAACATCGAATGCTTCTATAATTCTATTCTATCTCCATAATCTCATTGTCTGTGCTGCGATCTAAGCCCGCCTACTTAATCCATGCTCCGTCTCCTGAAGCTTATTTAGGTCGGATGGGTGAGAAAATAAAAAATCAATGTTATGCCTTAAGCGAATGGCTACTACTACCATTGCTCATGGGTACTTCCAGTAGTCATGGTTTTAGCAAAAGAATGGCGTGACCTTGGCTGCTGCTAATAATGTGCACTTTTAGCGTGACACAAGGAGAACTGCTACTTTTCAAGAATTGTTGGTTGTACCAAGGCACAGGAGTACTGCTTTGGTTTAAACACACCCCACATATAATACTTCCTACAAAATCCTGCAAACATTAATTCAAGATAATTCAACTTCATTCCGTAAAATTAAACTGCTTTTGATAAACTTGCTATAGAGACAAATATTAAGGATCAAGAGAAGTTCTTCCACTTACTCCAATTTTGTTGTGGCAATTCAAGAGATGAGAAAACTAAAAGATCCACATCATTAATCTCCGCCTTCAGAGAGAGGTTGTGCTCAATTATCTCATCTAGCAGACGGTCAAAAACTTTTTCATCCCTTCAGCAGAATATATAAATGACCAGAATATGCATTCAGAGAAAAAAATAAAAAATAAAAAATAAAAAATAAAAAATAAAAAATAAAAATTTATGAAACATATGTTAAAATTAGTAAGAAGCTACCTTTCGTACTCCGGAAAGAAATACAGAGCAATGCTATCATTAGTGGGTGGCAACCTTTTAAAACTCTTTGGCCATGCATCACATCTAGGCAGAATTTCAACATCAACTTTTGGTGGTAACAAAGATGCTGCATCAGACACTTTCGAGCAAGCTTTACTAGATAAATGGGCCATAATTCCAACAAGAATTTTATCCTTTTTGTTGCCAATCCTAAAGGAACCCCTGTGACCCAAAAAGAAGATGAAAAGGTAAACTAGCAGTAAATCAATGAATTGTTTCCCTCCATTGCAGGCTATGACTCATAAAAGTGCCCACAATAGTAGAGTGGTTCCATAATGTAAACTAATCAAGCGACATATTAGCAAATGGTAATTGTAAACCTACCAAAGAGAAAATTACCTCCAGATTGGATCCACAATAGGTCGTGCATGCACATAGTTATCAGATTTTAAAGATCGCTGACCATACGAAACATTCACAGGACCATAATGATCATAAGGAGGTAATGGAGAAGCTGCAGCTTTAATTAATTCACATTCATCTTCTGGACTGTACCCATCTTCAAGAATTAACCTTCTTCTATGCTTTCTAAGCTCTTGATTTTTACGTGTTTCATGAATTGAGTGCAGGTTTTTCATCTCCTCACATGGGAGAGAACTATCACTTGGTAACTGAGTTGTTTCCGCCGGTATGTCCATATCAGATTTTAAAGATCGCTGACCATACGAAACATTCAGTGAACCATAATGATCATAAGGCGGTAACGGAGAAGCAGCAGCTTTAATTAATTCAAATTCATCTTCTTGACTGTCCCCATCTTCAAGAATTAACCTTCTTCTATGCTTTCTAAGCTCTTGATTCCCACGTGTTTCATGAATTGAGTACAGGTTCTTCATCTCCTCACATGGGAGAGAACTCTCACTTGGTAACTGAGCTGTTTCTGCCGGTCTGTCCATATCAGATTTTAAAGATCGCTGACCATACGAAACATTCACTGGACCATAATGATCATAAGGAGGTAACGGAGAAGCTGCAGCTTTAATTAATTCAAATTCATCTTCTGGTCTGTCCCCATCTTCAAGAATTAACCTTCTTCTATGCTTTATAAGCTCTTGATTCCCTCGTGTTTCATGAATTGAGTGCAGGTTCTTCATCTCCTCACATGGGAGAGAACTATTACTTGGTAACTGAGCTATTTCAGCCGGTCTGTCCATGTAAACAGCTCTTTTTGCTTTTAAAGAACAGTTCTTATTTAGCTTTTTCTTTCTATTCATTCGTACTTCAACAGCCTGGTCTTTTCTTAAATTTACTGGCTCGCTTTTTCTCGATGACAGCAATTCAGCAGCCTCCTTCGGTGCACATTCAACACACATCCAAGTGATACAATCATCATCAGGAGAAAAATTGTCTAGACAATAGCTGATGAAGTACAATAAACCTTGGGTTAGTCAAGCACTATAAAAATGTATACAAATTAATTATTTTATGTCAATAACTAGAACTGAATAATCAAGATTTCATGCTCATAAAGCCCACAACAACGTATAATTTTTTATTTATTTTTTACTCAAACCAACTCAATAAAACTTTTTTCATCTATTTATACAGGCTACATAAATCTTGTTTGACCATTCCACTCTATCTAAGCTCATAACCTCAGTTAAACCACATATTATTATATCCTTTGTAACATTTTCTTTCCTGAATGGGATGGTATTATATACAAAAGAAAATTAGTACAAGTGCAGAATGAGTCATACCTTCTTTTACAGCTCAAGAGCTATAAAAGCTCAAAACCAGTATATACTGGAAAAAATAAAAAGTTGACAACATAAACATGAATCTATGAAGGCACAATTGTAAAATCATCTAAACTAAGTTTAAGGTAAGATAAAACTTCCCTAACTATAGTTTTAGCACAAAAGAGGCTTGATCTTTGCATCCATCATGAAGCACTGCATTTCTGATAGACCAAATCTTCCAAACAGTATTTGCAAAAATAGCACTCAACACCTGTCTTAATAGATTTAGTAGTTGTTTGCAAACAAAACCAATCAACAACTTGCATCAGTGATTCACAAATTGGAATGTCCATTTGCAGCAAACAGAAAATTACTTTCCAAATTGCCTGAGCATAAGAACATTTGTAGAATAAATGATCATTTGTGTCCAAACTCTTCCAACAGTTACGACAGATAGATGTAAATACAATTCCACGCTTCAGCAAATTCACCAAAGATATATTCCTGTTGTGGAGGATGATACAAACCATCACAGTAACTCTAGGTCTGCTATGTTTCCAAATTAAGGCACTCCATTTCTGAATTTGACCTATAAATCTACAAACGTTCCAAGCTGCTTTCAATGAAAAATTGCAATGTTTCCAAACAATACTATCCTTCGTAACTATCTCTATCACAACGCACCCCAACCTGCGTAGATATTGTTCACTTTGCACACTCACCTCTCGGTGCTCATGTTTTGCTCAAAACACGTCTGCATGGTTAAGGGGGTGTCCACACATATAAGTCTCAACAACTTTTCCACCCTGGTGATGTGGGACATCACAATCACCCCCTCTTGGGACCTAGCGTCCTCGCTAGTGTGACCTGCATGGGCTTTTGCATGCCCCCATTTTCGGCTGGAAATTGGCTTTGATACCATCTATCACGACCCGCCCCAACCCGCGTAAAAATTGTCTGCTTTGCACACTCTCACGGTTTTACTCAAAACTCATCTACATAGTTAAGGGGTTGTTCACACATATCAATCTCAACCTATATTCCTGGACTATGGTACAGTTTTCAGAATTCATTGATGGTCATCCTCTTCACGATTTACCTTTGGAGGGTGCTTCTTTCACATGGGTTAATGGCAGAGAGTCTCCTACCCTTTCACGTCTGGATAGATTTCTCATTTCAGGAGATTGGGAGAAGTTTCCGGATGCGACTTAGGCAGCCTTGGTTAAACCGACATCGGATCATATTCCCTTGGTGTTGGATTGTAGTGGGTTAAGGTCTAGAATCACTCCTTTTCGTTTCGAAAACATATGGCTTAGGGCTGATGATTTCCAGGGGTGTGTGAGGCCTTGGGGGGAAGGTAGTATGGTGTCTGGGAATCCGAGCTTTATTCTTGCTAGAAAGCTTGGAGTGTTGAACAAGGAGATGAAAAGTTGGAATAAGGAGGTTTTAGGGAATCTCGAGTGGAGGAAAAGTAGGGCTTTGGCGGAGATTGCAGAGATTGATCGTCGGGAAGGCGTGGGTGGCATTGGTGATGAGCAGAGAAGTAGGAGAGTGGCGTGCCAGACTGAGATTGCTGTGTCGGAGGAGATTTCCTGGAGACAGAAATCCAAAGCATTATAGCTTAAGGAGGGGGAAAGGAACACTAAGTTCTTCTATAGGTTGGCTAATGCTCATAGGAGGGGCAATCACATTGAGAGACTTACCGTGGATGGGGTGGTCTTGAGTAGGGAGGACGATGTTTGCAAGGGGATTGCCGAATTCTACCAGAGACTGTTTACGATGCCTATTTCTACGAGACCCCTGCTGGATGGACTTAATTTTGATAGGATCTCTGAGGCAAACAGGAAGGGTCTGGAGATTCTATTTTCTGAGGAGGAAGTGCTGAAGGCGCTGAGAAATTGTAATGAGGATAAAGCTCCGGGTCCGGATGGTTTTACTATGAGGTTTCTTTTCATACTTTTCATACTCAGGGGCGATTTGAGAAATCCCTGAATGCATCGTTTGTAGCCCTCATTCCGAAGAAGGACCTGTAGATGTGAAGGACTTTAAACCCATTAGTTTGTTAGGATGCATTTATAAACTAATAGCTAAAGTTCTTTCTTTGAGATTGAGGGTGGTCTTGGATGAGATTATTTCGAAATCTCAGAATGCTTTCATAGGAGGGCGTCAGATTTTGGATTCTGCCCTTTTTTCTAGGGAGTGCGTGGATGATAGATTGAGAAGTGGGTTCTAGGGGTTTTGTGTACGTTGGATGTGGAGAAAGCTTATGATCATGTTAGTTGGAGTTTCTTGCTATATCTGATGGCAAGGATGGGTTTTGGGGATAAATGGAGGAAATGGATTGAGTTCTGCATTTCTTCAATGAGATTCTCAGTGTTGGTGAATGGGGTTCCGACTGGTTTCTTTGGAAGCTCACGAGGTTTGCGTTAGGGAGATCCATTGTCCCCACTTCTGTTCATCATTGTGATGGAGGGGCTTAGTAAATTAATGGGGAGGGTGGCGGAGGTGGGCTTCATCAGGGGTTTTAGGGTGGGAAGGGATGATTTGCATCAGTTGGAGATTTCCCACCTTTTATTTGCGGATGATACTCTTGTGTTTTGCAAGGCTGAGGTGTCTCAGATGAGATATTTGAGGTTGGTTTTGATCTGTTTTCAGGCAGTCTCGAGTTTGAAAGTGAATGTGGGGAAGAGCGCTTTGATTCTAGTGGTGGCGGTTCCGAAGATTGAGGAATTAGCTTCTGTTCTTGGTTGTGGAGTTGGTTCTTTTCCGATCTCTTACTTGGGTTTGCCTCTGGGGGTTTCTTCGAGGATTGTAGGTGCTTGGGATCCTGTGGTGGAGAGAGTGGAGAGGAGGTTTGCGGGGTGGAAGAAGCAATATTTATCAAAAAGTGGGAGGGTTACCTTGTTGAAAAGCACTTTGTCGAGCATTCCTACATATTTTTTATCCCTTTCCAGATTTCGTCCTCGGTTGCTACTTGTATTGAGAGACATTAGAGGAACTTTTTATGGGGAGGTTTGGGGGGTGAGTTTAAGTATCATCTAGTTCGTTGGGAGCAGGTGTGTAAGCCTGTTAAGTTTGAAGGAATTGGGATTAGGTAACTACTGCCTTTTAACAGGCCCTTGTTAGGTAAGTGGTTGTGGAGGTTTGGTATTGAGCGAGATAAATTATGGATGAAGGTTATCTTGTGTCACTTTAGGAGGAGGGAGGGGGGGTGGTGCTCTGCTGTGGTGTCTAATCCTGGATGTGTTGGTGCCTGGGAAGCCATTCAAAAAGGTTGGAATGAGTTTTCTAAGCATATCAAATTCAGAGTTCATGATGGTATGGAGATTCGGTTTTAGGAGGATGTGTGGTGTGGAGATCGCACTTTAGGATGTTCTTTCCCTAGACTTTTTAGGATTGCGGCTAATAGACATGCCTCGGTGGCTGACTGCCATCACCTTGATAACGGGAGACCAGTTTGGGATGTGCTTTTTCAGTGATCTTTTCAGGACTGAGAGACGGATGATGTTTTTGGTTTTTTAGAGGAGTTGTATAGCCAGGTGATCCGTGGAGGAGGTAGGGATTCTCTTGTTTAGGTTCCTTCTTCTAGGGGAATGTTTAGTGTGAGATCTTTTTTTAGATGCCTTTTGGACTCAGTTGGGGTGGTATTCCCTTGGAAGGTAGTGTGGCGAACTAAGGCGCCATTGAAAGTGGCTTTCTTTGCTTGGACGGTCGTTTGTGGTAAAATATTGACACTGGATAATTTGAGAAGGAGAAAGCATATCACGGTGGATTGGTGTTGCATGTGTAAGTGTAATGGCGAGTTGGTTGACCATCTTCTTTTGCATTGTCCAATGGCGGTTGAATGTTGGAATCTTTTGTTAGGTCTATTTGGAGTTTACTGGGTCATGCCTAGATCTACGAGAGGTCTGATGGACACCTAGAGAGGGGGTTGGGTGGGAGCACAAGCTCGAGGGTTTTGTAGGATGGCACCACTGTGTCTTTGGTGGTGTTTGTGGAGGGAGCGGGATAAAAGATCCTTTGAAGGAGAGGAATCTTCGATCATTGTTCTGAAATCTTCCGTTATTAGCTCTCTTTTTTTGGGGTTCGGGTAGACTTTGTTCCTCTGCTGAGGAGACTGTTGAGTTTTTAGCTTCCCTTGGGGCTTAGGGTACCCAGGTTTTTATAGTCCTGTAGAGACGCGTTCCCCTTTTGAACGCTTTTATTGAATTGCTTATTTATAGAAAAAAAATAAAATCATTCACACTTGTTGTCAGTGGCGTAGCGACAGAGGGACAAGTGGGGGCAGTTGCCCCCATTGAACTTTTAATTTTTTAAAATTTTATATGGAAAATTTTTTATATTTATATAATTGTACCCTCTAAAATTTGACAATGCGCGTATATATAGTATATATATATATATATATATATATACTATATATAACCAAAAGCCTCTAAAATTTGATAGTGCACGTATATATACTATATATATATATATAACACCAAAAGCTCATTCACAGTTATCTATATGATATTTTTTCCACTTTTCCAAAATATTATATTCTTTTCTACTTTCCAAAAAAAAAAAAAAAAAAAACATTTCATCAAGATATTCTATCATACTTTTGACTTTACCACAAACAAATAAATTGTTTCCATTACATCTTTAATTTACAAACATTTTTCACAATCCAAA